AGATGTAGACCCTGCTAGATCGTGCAACTAAATTATAGCAGGCCTACATATTTTTTTTACTGATATAAAACGATGCAGATCTAATTTTTTTCTTGAATTAAAAATATCCACGTTAAAATTAAACAGCGGTTGTACTTGTAGAACTGCCTTGACCGAGAGACACGACTCAGACTGTGTTCACGTGGTCTCGTGACGTAGGTCTTACGGTCAGCGCGACCTTGAAGAAGCGGGTACGAGGTGGTAAAAAGTGACGGTAAAGTTGAGTGAAAACAGCACAGTTCTATTTCATACATAAAATAGTCCTCCAAATAGATTTTTTCTTTTCTTTTTGTAATACCAAATACAAAAATTTTTTTTTTTTTAATTGGAGCAAAATCTTTGTTTTTTTTTAAAAGACGATCGGCGATGCTAGTGAGCTAGATCTAGTAACTGTAGAATTTAGTTGTTTTATTACACAGCCTAGCGGTATCCCATTGATGACATCGCGTAAATAATACGAGTTTTACCCCCAACCCATATCGTCATAAAAAATAGCCACACCACTAATGACATCAAAAAGTTTCGTCTACAGCCTCACCCATCTGATACAGCTGATTTTTATTTGGTCCTTGGCGCACGCGTGAGATTGTTGCTGACGTCATTTACTATTCATTTTTTTTCGGAAAAGGCTATTAGCGGGAGTGTTGATGATAAAAACAATTTTTACAATGCCAAAATTTTCAAGCTTATAACGATCTAAATTTTTTTTTAAACTGCAAACCCGGAAATTTTCAAACTCAAATCTTGCGAATCCGGAAAGGGAAAAAAATATGATTCTCGAATCCGGAAATCCGGGATATCCCGGAAAAGTGGCACCCCTGTATTTAAGACTAAATAACCAATGATAGGACAGTGAATTAAATACGTCAGGTTGCCCTATAATGCCAACAGTTTATTGTCCTTGAGGGATAGACTGAGACAAGGAATCACTCAACAATCAATTTATATTCATCAATATATTCTTTCTGAGATAACTTCTATGTCTGTCTTGTTGGTTATTTCAAAGACAAAATTTGTTTTTAATTTTAAAATTTCCACATGTGGTGTGTTACATATTTACACATTTACAGCATTTAAGCTTTGGAGCCCTTAATTTCTGCTTATGAAATTTATCCTTTTATGATTTAGCAAAAATGTATTTATGCAAAACTAGCAAATGTGTGTAAACAGCATCAATACTAATAACAAGGTAATATTCCTGTATTCAAGTAAGGAACTCAAAATTGTAACCTTCTCGGTGCAGTACTACAATAAAACTTCATATAACCTGTGGAAATGTTAACTTTTTTTAATGAGTCTGAATAAAATATAATTTGCACAATGTCTGTGTGAATAAATCTTTAGCTTAACATACATGTGTTATGTCTTGAGACATTAAACATGTATAGTTACATGAACAACTTTTTATTCATTACATTTTATCTTAGAACATGTTTTTAAGCATCACATTTAAAATTGTATAAGTAGGAATAAATTGATACATAATATTGTATTATTTTTGTTAAGACATTTTATAAATAAATTTCTAAATAATAATTCTGAATTTTATTCTTTCTAATAGATATTAGAATAGTTAATTTCAAATCATTACTGTACTAAAATTTAAAAAAATAATTATAGTTTTTTTAGTGTTAACAATCCTGATGTGTTCCAGGTTTTTATGAATGTACATGTAACACATAAACTATGTAACCTCTATTCTCTAGCGTGCGACAACCATACACAAAAATTAAGTAACATTTCTTATGATTGTAACAATCATACACTTACAGTATATAGCCTTAATTCTTATGATTCTAACAATCATACGAACGAATTTAAGTAACCTTTTTTTCTCATGATTGTAAGACACAAATAACTGATGCAACTTTGGGTGTAGAGAGGGAGGTAATGTGGTAGAGTGATGAAGTTTCTACCTGCGAAACTTTTGTTTTATCCAGCAAAACTAGGAGAGATGACGAGCCAATGAAATGTGAGCTAATGAGGTACACGCAGGGTCAAGGGTCATACAGCACAGCTGACAAGTTTGGCAGATGTTAAACTTGACAAGTTTGGCAGATGTTAAACCTGACACAACTGACAAGTTTGGCAGATGTTAAACCTGACACAACTGACATGTTTGGCAAATGTTAAACCTGACAAGTTTGGCAGATGTTTAACCTGGTACAACTTGGACACAACTGTGATGTACAACGCTTGACCACAAGGTTTGATATTCATTATTTTGTTGGAGTGTACAAAACCCTGGTTTTAAACAGAAAGAAGAGCAAACAAAGTCAAACAAAACAAAAAGCTCAACCAAATGGAAAATACAAGCTGTACTGAGCAGACTTTGAATAAATAAGACAATAAATCATTTCTGTTAGCACTGAGATCATTAGGAATGATAAACAAAATATTATTATTAAATAGGCTGTAGGAATTTGTGTGCATGATGAATGGATTTGGTAACATCCAACATGTTATGACTGATTTAAAGTATATTTTTGTGGGAAGTTTCATTCATTTCAATTGATGTAAATTTGCAATTAATTAATTAATACAAATTAAATTGGTTACTATTTCAAAAAGTTTATACCAAATATTATTAATAAATATCAGTAACCATGCTAATAGAAATTAATTTAGTAGATCATTGATGGAAACCATTTTAAAAACTGGCATGTTTATTTCTGATGCAAAATATTTTAGTATATCATTGATAAGGAAGCTTAATTCTGATGGAAATTTTTTTGGTATATCAATGATTGGGAAGTTTAATTCTGACACAAAATATTTTAAAGCAGCTCTATAAAAAAGTCTTAAATTGTTAATAAATCTCTATTAAAAATGTTAACATGTGGACACTGAAAAAAGGAATGTATTTTTTGTAAAAAAATTACTGTAAAATGATATGCAGGTAAAATAAAAGCGCAGCCCTAGAAGAAAAAAATATTAACCTCACAATTTACACATTATTTATTTAAGGAATGTCAATAGCAAAAAAATATTAACCTCAAAATTTATACATTATTTATTTAAAGAATGTCAATAACAAAAAAAAAATTTACAGTATTTATTTTAAATCACAAGTTAAAATGTTTCAATTCAAATATTCATTTCCCTAATTATAAATTCCCAATACCATCATTACCACATTTTCATAACCTAAACCAATTTTAAAATCTACTATAATACCAATTAAAATACACACTAAATATCCAAGTACATTAGTGATTTAGGATCAACTATATGCAGGGGCAGATAATTATGGCAAGAAGCTATAAATAGTATCACATTAAAATCAAAGTGATTTTCCCATCCTCCACTATTGTGTCCTATTTCTAAGTGTATTAAAGAAATGCCATTCTATAAACCCTTTCAAATACAACAGAAGTGAGTTCGGTAGACACACACAGGCAAGCTTACAATTCATGCTCTCTAGTTTGTTTATAAACTTTATCTTTAACATTTTTAGAAATAGAAATATGTTTGATACAGCCTGAAGCTAACCAGTTATTAAAACATTTTTTCTTGTTATGTTTTGACCAAATAGGCAAACCAAAAACACTTTTTTTTCTCCAAAACAGAGGCAAAAGTTTACAGGCCATTAATTTAAAAAAAAAAAGGATAATTACAATATTTTATTTATTGAGACTAGTAAATGTGAGTGAGACATGCTGAAACTTTTGAAAACTTTGACCAAGTATCAAATACACAAGTATTTTAATATGATCGAAATTTAGGAAATTACTTGTAGGCATCCATAACAAAATCCCACTTAATAAAAATATTTTATAATTTATACCAATTTTAGTTTCTACTAATTTAATGCTAATCTTGATTGTTTCTTTAAAAAGGAAATTAAATTATATTATGTAGAAACATTTATGAATCAAACCTTAGATTTCTATCAGCCAATTGTGTTTGTAACTAGAGAAAATAAATTGATCACCAAATGGTTTGTATGTTTAAAAAGATCCCAGCCAATTATATTTTGTCTCTAAACAAACTAAAATTATCAACCAATCAGATTTTTGGTGAATTGGGTAAATAAAAAAGTATCAGCCAATGACTCAAGGAAACAAGTTTAAAGTTAACTCTTGTATCTATTATAATTTTCTGTTTTAAATGGAATGATACATCTATGTGTTACCTCCAGGTTTACTTGAAAACATTTAAAATTATTTTTTTATCCTGCAGTTTTGTAAATAACAATCTGTCAGAAACAATCAGCATCAGATTGCTAAAAGTCCAACCCACAAGTCCCACAACTCCATGTAAAACACATGTCAGGAAGTTTCAGAGTAAAATAAACAAGTGCTATGACTTGAATGAGAGCAAGTCAAGCCCCACATTTATAGTAAAGAAAACAGGTCAACATGATAAGGGAAAATGTGAATCTCATCTTTAAAACTTTCACAGTTCTAGCTAGAACATCTGTAAGGTTAATTCACATGTCTAGCTAGTACACGTATAATGTTAACATTCTATGTTAAACAACTCTCACCACAAATTTAAACTCCAGGAAGTAGAGAACTACACAGCATCAACAGGTCAAAGTTCAAGTCCTTAGAGTGAAGAATAACAGAAAAAGTTTAGCTCCAAATGTCCAACTTAGCTTCTCCTATATCCACTGAGAATCTGACACATTACCAAATGTTTGTAAAGTATTTTAGACAGGTCACTTACACAGTTGGTCAACTGGTCAGTGGCTTGTCCTGCAGCAAATAATACAACTCAACCGTGAGTCTTCTGCTGACCAACACATTGGCAAAATCACAACAATCCCAGAACACATTTTGAAATAATTGTAGACAATTGTTCATCCATTATTTCATAACTAACTAGTTGTGTCCTAAATAATATCTTAGCTAATGACTAGATGTGTGTCCTATGTCAGTTAAGGACTGACACGTGTCCACAATGTGTCCGTTCTCTGTGTCAACCATTGACTCACTGTGTCCTTGTGTGGTCAGCAACTGACTAGCCCTGACCTTCCCTGTACAGCTGCCAGAAAATCCTGTCCAGTCTGGCCCTGATCCTAGTCTATCTGAGGTAAATGGTAGAACAAATGTGTCTTGCTTCTACACAAGGCGAAGATGAATGACTCACTCAGTGTTGAGTGGCTGATGGTTCATGTTGGATGACTGATGATGTGAAGCTAGTGACATCAAGATGACTTTGAGAAGATGACTTTGAGAAGATGACTGAAGAACATAGAAGGAGGCTGGCTACCAGTGAGTGCTACTCTCTACAGACCTAGTTTTGTGTATAGCTGATGACACTGTTATATCGGAACACTCGTCCGAACTTGTGTCCGTCTCAGATTTCTGGGAAACAAAACAAAAAAATTATCACTAAGAAACTCATTGTTTGTAATATTTAATAGTAGTTTTAACAAGATTATTGTAACCAAATGTTTGGAGTTTCATTTGTTTAAAAACAAACTTGAAATGAAAACAAAATAAAACCATTGCCACCTAAATATTACCTGTTTTAGAAATGTAAATATTGGTAATAAAATAATTAGGACAAAAAAAAAATTATTATAATAATTAACATAATATAGACATATTTTTAAAATTAATAATCTAAAAACGGCAAACACAAATTATCAATAATATTTAAGGCTATAAACTAATCTCCAACCCACCATCCTATCAGGGGAGTTAACTTTATTTTTCATCTTCTTGACAGTTTTCTCCCTGTCCGACAGACCATCTGGTATGTAGGTCAGTTTGGTCAGCTCCGCCTGCAGGTTTTCTGCACTGCCAGTGGACAGCAGACCGTTGTCACCACTGCCATCTTGGTTGCCTGACCTGTCACTGATGTCCTCCTCTGAGAAGACACCTTCAGAGCTCAGGGTGGAGAAGGACTGGCGGCAGGGGGGACGACAAGGTGTCTCGTCATCACTCACCTCCCCTTCCTCTTCTTCAGACCAGGATTCTTCAGAGTGCTAATAGAGACAAGAAAATATTGTTTACAACTGGAATTTTTAAATTTTTATTTGAGGAGCTGGGCTCCGAAAAAAAAAAACGGGAAAAAAACTTAAATAATGTGCCTTTTTTATTTGTTTATGTATAAGTTAAGGTATTTAAGGGGAAAAAATAAAAAATTTTGTGGAGTTCTAAAATTTGATAAACTAACATATATATCGGCCAAATATTGGTCCTTCTTTAACTAACACTATTAGAGTCAGCGGGCTAGGTTTTTTAACAGAAAACCGCTATAAATTTATATTTTTTAATTTATACATTTTTTTAATGAAATACCTTTAAATTTAGCATTGCTTTTAAAGATTTTTCAGAATACCAAATTTTGGAAATTAAAAAAAAATATTTCTAGAGTGTTTTCTGAAGCCTAGCAACTTAAAACAAAATTTTAAATTTTAAAGTGATCTATTATTATTTATTATTAATCAACTAGCACATATAATAATAATACAAAATAAATAACATTTAAAAAGTTGAATGGTAGTTGTCTGCTACTTTATAACAAATTTTTTTCCTAAACTAGAGCCAAATAATTTTGCAACATTAGTGAATATCATCACTTACTAAACACACGAAATTTAACAAGTAAAAAATATTTTAAAATGGATTGAATTTTGATTAATTTTCTAACAGTTTGCAATACATTTTTTTAGTGTTAGATCAAGATGGAAAAATATATAGTATAACTACTTATTTTTCAAATATTGTTCAAAGATAACATTAAATACATTTTTGGTAGCATTTGTAGCCATTACAATTTTTTTTTTAAAAGGATAGGGTTAGTTTAAAATATGCTCAGGATAGTCATTGTTACATTTCTATTCTGTCATTTAGACATGGTTAAAAATACGAGTCTTTTAACTATTACGAGCCGGCCAACGGCATAACATACGCCGCTATTTAGTTGTTGTTTTTTCTACTTTTCAGTAATTCATAATTTGTGAATTCGACAGTACCAACGCTGCCACTGAAAATTTCTTTAAAACACTATAAGTAGCTCGTTAAGGACCATAACCCCCCCCTTCCTTTCCCCCCCCCCCCCTCCCCCCTACGTTTAAAATCATTTTAAACTAAATTATCTGCCCCTAATAATCGTCACAAAACCCGGCTCTGCTTGTAAACATTTAGAGTGAACTACAGCTCACTAAGACAATGTAGTGATGGGGAGGTAGGGAGCGCGTTTACAGCTTGTTTTCTAGCGTCTCCCAGAAGAGAATTATATATAGATTTTATTACTAGTGATAATAACATAGTATTTTTACCATAAACCTTATTAAACCTGAAACAAATAATTCCAATAGTGCTTGTAGAAAATAAGATTAATTTGCAGCTAACGAGAGTGATTAATGGTAAACAAGCACAAATTGGCAACTACACCAAATTTACTAAATTTGATAAACTATTTTAATTTTTTTTATATAAAAATAGCTGATTGTAATTTTAAAAGAGAAAAAGAAAACATGAAATAAAAATTAAAAAAAATAAAAATTGTAAAAACTTTGATGGACTGACCTTGGTGTTTCTGAATCTAACAGAGGAGTTGTTTGCCTCCCTTTTCTGCAGGACACCGTCCACATTTTGTCCAGCTCTCTCCGTCCCCGCCTGGCTGTCCTCGTACCTGTCCTGACACCTGCCAGAGTTCTCAAAGATGTCAGAGCTTCTCCTCCGGCAGGACGGGCTCCTGTGTCTCCTGCTCATATCCTGGCTGCTGTGCACACGTTTGACCCCCGACCCCTGCGAGGTCATAAGTACAAGATGGTGGTTGGTGGAGTTTGTGAGAGTCTGTTGTGTGAGACTGGTGTTGATGGTGTCACAGTCAGTGTGTGACGTCGTCGTTTGGATGACGCCCGAGTTAAGCTGTGAGCTGACAGAGTTCGTGCTGCTCTCCGGGAAATTTAAATTTTCATTCGAGTCTTTTTCTCGGACTGTGTACGTCTGGGGTTGAAGGTCAGCGGGGGATGCCATGGGCGAGCATGAACATGACCCTGAGCCAGTTTCATGACGAGATGAGTCAACATCCGGAGATGATTTCTCGCTCATTGTTTCAAGCGGTTGGTGTTTGGGGCTAGACAGGGGAGATAAATCACAGGTGCTCTCAACATCGGCGCTGACCTGGGACGACCTTTTGCTGCTGCACGTGGCGTCACTACACCCGCCGTCGCAGCCAAAGCAAACGTCGTTGATGTTATTGTCTTTGAATAGCGGTGATCGCCTGGAGATGGGGGACCTCTTGGTGCTGTTGTTGGCGCTGGAGGTCCTGCTACACAGCTCCTGACGTTTTTTGATGTTGTTCTCCATGTGTGAGATCCTCATCTCACAGCCGTCCACCTCATCCTCGCTCCTGTACTCCCTGATGGCTGTCCCCGGCCCCAGGTACTTGAAAGTACCGGGGAACTGCGGGTGCTCTATGTGGTGTAGGCCGGCGGGGTTCAGGGCTTCAGCATTTCTGGCTTCGTGGTCCCGCGAGGGGGACTTGATGGGGGAGGCGATGTCCTTCATAGAGCCTCGGCTGTTATTGCGACGATGTCGAGACTTGCGCGTCCTCATCTTGGTGGGTGAGGGTAGAACCAGCTCCGAGCTTGTTGTCATGCTGCCTTCTGTGTTTTTCATGGAGTCTGGTCTGTGGGCACAAGGTAACAATCTTACAGAAACTTTCTAAACATTAATTTATAAGATTTTTAGATTAATTTTTAACATATGTAACAGAAAATTCAAATGTTAGGGAATCTTAAAAAAAAACACTTACGTTGTGACCTCTGAACCTGATCTATGAATACGTTTTTTGCCGAGCCTATCCAATTTCTCCTGGGCTTTGATGATTGGTCGAACTATGCTTTTCCTGCGTTTATTGTACAGTGTAAGCTGCTGCTCTCTTCTACAAAAGAAAACAAAAAAATTAATTAATATTAAATTCTTTGTGCATGAGGAGTACTGACAACTTGTAACTGGTTTGATAACTTACTAATATAATTCATAAGCTAATTCAATCAAAACGAAAGTTAGGACTTATCAAAGAGATTTTTCAGTTTGGTATGTACTATAGTTTAAGGGGTGGACAGGGGGTGGACAGGGGGTGGACAGGTAGTCAACTTTCTTGAAAAAATTCAATTTTTTTCAACTAAAATCATTTTTGTATATCTTATTTCAAGGTGATTTTGATATCTAGATAAGGTTGACATCGAACTTTATTTTTTAATTTTTTTGTAAGTGATGTAAGCTTCTGTTTTCCCCAATAATATTATCAGAAAAGTAACTATTTATCAAGGTTATTCATGATTTTGCTAATACATACATTTATATGATAAAATATTTAGACAATATAGCTTCATTTTGAGTTTTCTCAGGTCAGGTGAAGTAGAGTTCACCTGTTTCTATGTTCTCAGCATATGAATGGATAGTGTGGTCAGAGCCACATGCTCGGCTGGAGTCGTTATTTTTAAAATTCAAACATGTCTGAGACTTGGCGGGACGCTGGGCAGGTGAAGTAGAGTTTTTAAAATATAAAAAACGTCTTTTTGAATGTGGGGTCTGGTTATTTTGGGATGATAAGTGCTGGCAGACGTGATGTCATTTATGGATGACCCCCACCCCTCCGAAACCCACAGTTATCTAACTAGATAACGGGTAGTCTAGTATGTAGTCTAGTATGTATCTACAAATTGTTAAAAAAGTTGTGAAAGAAAATCACATGAATTTTTGCACAAAAAAATAATTTTGTAAGACATCAAAATTTCCCTTTGGCAAACCGTTCTTTGTCATGTCTACTAGGCATGTGCAAAGTTATTTTGCATTGTTTTTAATTATTTGTTTAGTTATTTTGTTTCCATTATGTACCTCAAATATGTTCACATTGACCCCAAATTTCGCTAAAAATGAAAAATTGGTCCCAATTTAATACAATATTATGTTTAAAGTATTTTAAAGTTAATACAATTTTAAAAAATCATGTATCTTATGATTTGTAACAAAATGTGTTTTAACTGCCGGTCCCCTTAACACATAAACAAAGAAAAAAAGATTATAAAAAGAAAGTGATGTTAATATATAATTTTTTAAATAATTAAAAATAATTTTGGCTTTTGTAATTTTTTTTTTTAGCTCCCTTAAGTTTCAACAGATTTAGAAACATTTATCAAATATATTCTACAGAGAAGGTCAAACATATCCCAGAAAAATATACCTGTCAAATATATCCTAGAAAAATATAACAAAATATACCCCAGAAAAATATACCATTCTAATATATCCTAGAAAAATATAACAATAAAATATATCCCAGAAAAATATACCAATCTAATATATCCCACCAACACCCAACATATCCCACCAACATCCAATGTATCCCACCAATGTATCCCACCAACAAATCCCACCAACTAATCCCACCAACAAATCCCACAAAACCTACTTGATGAGTTCCCTCTCCCTTTTCTCCAACTGCAGCATGCAGGCTGTCAGCTCCATGTACAGGTTGTTGGCACGCTCAAGTTTTCTCTCGTAGTGCTCACGTACATCCTGCGCATGCCTGGACAAATATCAGACAGTTGATTAGCATCACAATATACGTGGGTCATAGGTAGGGGTTGATTAGTACTAGGCTATATGTGGGTTAATTAGAACCTGGTTATGTGTGGAGGTTAGTGAGTTTGGCTTATATTAATGAGTTAATTAACATCAAGTTTTTTAAAAAGTCAATTAAGATCAGATCACTGTCTTAAGTGTTAATTAAAGTTGGACATAAACCTTTCAGACAACCTTGCAGAAATAACGTCGTCATACTACTGCAATTAATGGCTCATAACTGTAATCCAAGGGAGAGAACACATTGTTTACCGTAACTCCTCCTTCCTCCTTTTGATCAGCTCCTCCTCCAACTGGGGCAGGTTTGAACCTTCAGCCTTCATTTTCTGGAAGTTTTCTCGGATTTCTGTCCTCCATATAGACTGTTGGGAAATAAATCAATCAGAAGATGGCCAGGATGGATCACACAATATAAAACAATAGCAAGTGTTTTGAAACAGATGAAGTATAAAATCCACAATATTACTGTAGCTATAACATTCATCTATAACGGTCTAGGTATGATACACCCAAAGTAAGATTTTCTAAAAAGAAAGTCCAACAAAATTATGACCAACTAAAATTACAACCATCTCAAATATTGACCAGCCCAAATATTGACCAGCCCAAATATTGACCAGCCCAAATATTGACCATCTCAAATATTGACCAGCCCAAATATTGACCATCTCAAATATTGACCAGCCCAAATATTGACCATCTCAAATATTGACCAGCCCAAATATTGACCAGCCCAAATATTGACCATCTCAAATATTGACCAGCCCAAATATTGACCATCTCAAATATTGACCATCTCAAATATTGACCAGCCCAAATATTGACCATCTCAAATATTGACCAGCCCAAATATTGACCATCTCAAATATTGACCAGCCCAAATATTGACCAGCCCAAATATTGACCATCTCAAATATTGACCATCTCAAATATTGACCAGTTCAAATATTGACCAGCCCAAATATTGACCATCTCAAATATTGACCAGCCCAAATATTGACCATCTCAAATATTGACCAGCCCAAATATTGACCATCTCAAATATTGACCAGCCCAAATATTGACCAGCCCAAATATTGACCATCTCAAATATTGACCAGTTCAAATATTGACCAGCCCAAATATTGACCAGCCCAAATATTGACCAGCCCAAATATTGACCAGCCCAAATATTGACCATCTCAAATATTGACCAGTTCAAATATTGACCAGCCCAAATATTGACCAGCCCAAATATTGACCAGCCCAAATATTGACCAGCCCAAACATTGACCAGCTCAAATATTGACCAGCCCAAACATTGACCTGTGAATCAGCAAACTCCTCCCTGGAGTAGCTCAGCAGTTCTGACGAGGCAATCTCCAGGTGCATCAAAATCTGCCTGAAAGATGGCCTGTTCCTGGGCTTGGCGCTCCTGTAGGTGAAGTAGATCTCATTAATATCTAACCATTCACACATGCGACTTGTGTTGATTAAGGGCATGGGTGGGTGAGGAATACCAAAAGAAGTAAATAAAATCCACAATGGCTGCCATAACATGGCAAAGGCAGGAAATTTTTAGCCATTTTTAAATTTCTAGATTTAACTTTGAGTTACAACTATATGCTAAATATGATAGCATTAGGTTTAGAAATAAGCAATAGGCTAATTTGGTATTCATAACCGGCCATGCCCTTAAACTAAATCAAACTAAAGCAAAGAACTTAGAACAGGAACTACAGTTACAAATAATTGATGTAACAAAAAGTTATAGCTTAACAAACTAATTTAGCCAACAATTAATGTAGTAAAAATTATAGCTAGACCAACTGATGCATCAAACAACTGATGTAGCAACTAGCTCAACTGACCAGCACTGCCTCATGAGCAGCTTGAAACCCTCTGGGCAGGTGCTGGGCACGGGCAGATGGAGACAGTTGCTGCCCACACCCCAGATGATAGCGGATGAGTCCACATCCTTATATGGCACTTCAGCAGTCAGCAGCTCCCATAATACAACACCATAAGACCTACATACAACATAACAGGTCAACATTATATGGCAGTCAGCAGCTCCCATAATACAACACCATAAGACCTACATACAACATAATCAACAGGTTAACATATGGCAGTCAGCAGCTCCCATAATACAACACCATAAGACCTACATACAACATAATCAACAGGTTAACATTATATGGCAGTCAGCAGCTCCCATAATACAACACCATAAGACCTACATACAACATAATCAACAGGTTAACATTATATGGCAGTCAGCAGCTCCCATAATACAACACCGTAAGACCTACATATAACATAATCAACAGGTTAACATTATATGGCAGTCAGCAGCTCCCATAATACAACACCATAAGACCTACATACAACATAATCAACAGGTTAACATTATATGGCAGTCAGCAGCTCCCATAATACAACACCATAAGACCTACATACAACATAATCAACAGGTTAACATTATATGGCAGTCAGCAGCTCCCATAATACAACACTATAAGACCTACATACAACATAATCAACTGGTTAACATTTTGAAATTTAGTCCTGAAAATAATATCTTTTTAAAATCACATATCTTTGGACAGCTTATTTTTTAAGATATATTTATAATGATTAGGCAATAGCTGATGTATATACATATAATCTGCTAAAATGGAAGAATTGTCTAATTGAAAAAAATAGTTTTAGTGATGTAAGAAAATTGTATGAACTGACCAAATGTCCACTTTCTCGCTGCACATTTCGCTGCGTATGACCTCCGGGGCCATCCATGCTACTGTGCCAGCAAATGACATCTTTGTGCTCTTCTCATTCCATTCACGACTTGTGCCAAAATCAGAGATTTTTACAATGTCATTGGAAGCCACTAGCACACTGTGTGGGGATGACAAAAGGAAATGGGTAAGTTAAAATACATAACTTATACAACACTTACCACTAGTAATAGACTGTAATCATTGTACAATACCACTGTATTGATAAGTAGAAATGGATTCAAATCTTAAATTATCATTTCAACAAAATATAGATGACAGGTAGTTAGATCTAAATATGTCAATCTTATAAATAGAAATTATTTTAAAATTTATTTTGATAATTTATTCAAAAAACAAAAATATTCATATAATTACAAAAAACTGAAGAGGTTAGCTATAGAACTTACTTGGGTGACTTCAAGTCACGATGTATAATTTTGTGAGAGTGTAGGTAGTTCATGCCACTGGCAATCTGCTTGGCCCACTCTAAGACCAGGGTGGGAGGGATCTCCTTGCCATCACGTAACACCTCGTACAGCTGACCGTATGGACAGTACTCCATGATGATGCAGTAGCACGGTGCCTGTGTACACACTCCCCTGTTGGGAAGATGGATTAATATACAGCTTTAGTGTACATTTAATCAAGTTAATCTGGGACAGCTAATCTTTTAGTGACAAATATATATAAGTTTGTGTAACTATTACATTTAATATTAGCAAATCAATATTAAGCAGGAATTAGGGTTATAGTCAATTAAATATTAATTTGTAGGAGGCCTGACTAAAACAATTTTAAACAAATTATATGGGCTTACTTGAAAGAAATAATGTTGGGGTGATTCAGGACTTACTTGAAAGAAATAATATTGGGTAGATTCAGGACTTACTTGAAAGAAATAATGTTGGGGTGATTCAGGACTTACTTGAAAGAAATAATGTTGGGCTGATTGAGGACTTACTTGAAAGAAATAATATTGGGGTGATTCAGGACTTACTTGAAAGAAATAATATTGGGGTGATTCAGGACTTACTTGAAAGAAATAATGTTGGGGTGATTGAGGACTTACTTGAAAGAAATAATGTTGGGGTGATTCAGGACTTACTTGAAAGAAATAATGTTGGGGTGATTGAGGACTTACTTGAAAGAATTAATGTTAGGGTGATTCAGGACTTACTTGAAAGAAATAATGTTAGGGTGATTCAGGACTTACTTGAAAGAAATAATGTTAGGGTGATTGAGGACTTACTTGAAAGAAATAATGTTGGGCTGATTGAGGACTTACTTGAAAGAAATAATATTGGGGTGATTCAGGACTTACTTGAAAGAAATAATGTTGGGGTGATTCAGGACTTACTTGAAAGAAATAATGTTAGGGTGATTCAGGACTTACTTGAAAGAAATAATGTTAGGGTGATTCAGGACTTACTTGAAAGAAATAATGTTAGGGTGATTGAGGACTTACTTGAAAGAAATAATGTTGGGCTGATTGAGGACTTACTTGAAAGAAATAATGTTAGGGTGATTCAGGACTTACTTGAAAGAAATAATGTTGGGGTGATTGAGGACTTACTTGAAAGAAATAATGTTGGGGTGATTCAGGACTTACTTGAAAGAATTAATGTTAGAGTGATTCAGGACTTACTTGAAAGAAATAATGTTGGGGTGATTGAGGACTTACTTGAAAGAATTAATGTTAGAGTGATTCAGGACTTACTTGAAAGAAATAATGTTGGGGTGATTGAGGACTTACTTGAAAGAATTAATGTTGGGGTGATTGAGGACTTACTTGAAAGAATTAATGTTAGAGTGATTCAGGACTTACTTGAAAGAAATAATGTTGGGGTGATTGAGGACTTACTTGAAAGAAATATTGGGGTGATTTAGGACTTACTTGAAAGAAATAATGTTGGGCTGATTGAGGACTTACTTGAAAGAAATAATGTTGGGGTGATTGAGCTTGCGGAGATTGCGAATGTCTGTCTCCTTGACGTCCCTGACCTTCTTGACGGCCACCTCCTCGTTGCACAACTTGCCCAGGAACACGGCACCCTGAGCACCACTGCCCAGCCACTGCAGGTCTGTGATGCTCTCAAATGGGATCTCCCAGTCATCAGATGATGATACTACACAAACATTGAAATACATTATGATACTAATACAACCAAAAGTTTTAACACATTAATGCTGGTATAAAGATAGATGAGTTAAAAAAAATAACTGATGATGATACTAATACAAGCAAACATTGAAACACATTAGTGCTGGTATAAAGATAGATGAGGTAAGGAAAAAATTAACTAGCAAATAAAAGAAAACATGTATATAAATAGTCTAGTTTATTTTTTTTAACTTAAGTAAAAAAAAATAATTTGATGAATAATAATGGAGTAGACTTTATGAAACATGATTTTGAAGCTAGGAAAGTAACACATAAAACAACACTTCTATTAAATATTCCATTAAAAACAAACCCTTTTTTATAGCAAAGACCTGGATATTTCTATTTAACATTAAATCTACAAATTGGAGAATTATGGACCAATTTTTAGAAAAATATTTTCAACCCTTAACACAATCAGATTTACTCAGAATGCAAATGTATCTATTATAATGAGATCAATTTACATGTTATAATGAAATTATAAATCCTGTTACTATGACACTATGAGTGCCAATATTTTACAAGCAGATCAAATACCTTGTTGTTTAAGCTCAGCTGCTGCAGCTTTCCCTAGGATGGTCCAGACGGGTCGCAGACACCCAAGGAGACCCTGGAAAAACCCTCTCTGAGAGCCAGCTCTGTATCCCACATCCACACTCCCCACAGGGTTGTGTGTGGGGGTGGCAGGTGCGGAGTGTGCGGTTGTGGGGCCGGGTGAAACCATAGAAGATGATGAGGATAAACCAAACCTGTCTCCGTCATGGTCCACTCGAAGCATACTGTGGGCAACAGAAACATTCAAGTTGGAAAACTTAATTATTTTAGTAGGCCTTACCACTCTAACTAAGCATACTGTGGGCAACAGAAACATTCAAGTTGGAAAACTTTATTATTTTAGTAGGCCTTATAATCTAATAGTAGAGTATAAGGCCTATCACAAACTAAATTTAAATTCTTGATAGACTAGCTTCTAGCTAGCAGCATTTGTTTCCGACATTTTTCTCCAGCAGGGGAGGGCAGGAACTTGAAATTTCCAGGAAGGGGGGAGGGGAGAGGTGGACTTAGGACTTTAATTGACATGGGGAAGGCCTAAGTTAAGTAGCATCTATATACTAATACTTTAAAGAGATTATATCCTATATTTCTTCTATTTTCTTCGGGGGGAGGGGGTGGTGGTCACTGTCTGGACTGAAGAGAGCTGCCTGAAAGAAACTGCTGGCTAGATTGGATTCAGTAGATTGACATAAGATCTATATATTTGATCTTGATTAGCTGACTAGAATCTAGATCTAGTCTAGCGATGATATCGACAGAGTTAATTCTAGATAATTATAAAATATAAATCTTAGTTAGATCTAGGCCTATAAAATATAAAATAAAATACACATAGGCCATAGTTAGGCTTATTTTATAAATAAATTATTATATCAATCACGTTTATCCATCATAATCCATTAATCGCATTAGGCCTTTAGTTTAGGCCTATTAAATTATTAAAATTAATAGGCCTATTAAATAATATTAAATATTATTTAATAATTAATAATTAATCTGAGTAGGCTAAATTCGTAAATTGTAATTTACGTAATCATAAACAATATTTCATATCAAGCATTATCTGAATGCAATTGTAATCACACACAATATTTCATATCAAGCATAATCTGAACGTAATTATAATCAAGTAAACAAATGAAACTTGAGCCTAAAAAATCATTACAGTTGTTTGGCATTTTCCCCCAAACGACAGCAGATTTTTCTTCTTAATTACCTCCCCTGTCAGTAAATAACTGTTGCTATTTCCGGCCAGGAAAAAAAACGAGTTAAAATGATCGACCACTGTTTGTTACGTTATGAATTTTTTTTTTCCTTTTCATTTTGATTTGACACGTTTTTGCTTTAGGGAGAAATCATAAATCTTTAAATAGCCTTCCCACGCACATGACCATTAAGTTATACTGGGCATTGAAATAACGCATATAAAGCAATGACAATAATAATTGTTTAATTATAGCTATTATTTTCTGAACAAAAGAGCATCATTATGATGTCTTTATTTTCAGAGGTTCAAATCAACTTGGGAGTTCGACCACGTTTGTTGTTTGGTTAAACAATGCATGCTCTAAATACCAACACAATCAAGACATTCTAATTACCATACTAAATTAGCAATATCACTCCGGAAATACCACAACTTCATTCACAAACACGGCTTAGCACAAATCCCAGGGCATTCAACATCCATTTTTATCATACCTCTAGCACGGGACATCCTAGTACGTTACATACCGTACCCCACCCCACCATACACCACACCCCGCGAACACTACCACCCAACACCATCCTATACCACCCCACTATACACCACCCCAAATAACCCCATACACCACCCCAGTACACCATACACCACCACACCCCACCATACACCACCACACCCCACCATACACCACCCCACCATACACCACCCCAAATAACCCCATACACCACCACAGTCCACCATACACCACCCCACCATACCCCCCCATACACCACCCCAGTCCATCATACACCACCCCAGTCCACCACCCCACCCCCCCCCTACCTGTTGGTGAAGTCCACCACCCCACCCTACCCTCCCCACCACCCCCCCCCCCCCCACCATTACCTGTTGGTAAAGTCCACGTCAGAGCTTGTGGTCATCACGTGCAGCATGCTGGTGCTGTGGACAAACAAAATGGCGGATTGTAATCAGAGCAGGACAGTCCTGACGCTGTAGGACAAACATCCACATGTGTTTTGGTGTCATAGGACAAACATCCACATGTGTTTGTGCTAAACACCCACATATGTTTTGGTGTCATAGGACAAACATCCACATGTGTTTTGGTGTCATAGGACAAACATCCACATGTGTTTGTGCTAAACACCCACATATGTTTTGGTGTCATAGGACAAACATCCACATGTGTTTTGGTGTCATAGGACAAACATCCACATGTGTTTGTGCTAAACACCCACATATGTTTTGGTGTCATAGGACAAACATCCAACACATTTGGTGCTATAGGACGAACATCTATACATGTGTTGGACAAACACCCACACACGTGTTAGTGCTATAGGACAAACACCCACATGTGTTGCCTTATCATAGACTATCTACAACACAATTCGCTGCACTAGCTTCTAAAATATTTTTTTTTAATTTGATTACATTTTCCAATAGGGTTGGGGTTTTATAAAGTGGTATTCTAGCCGTCGTCGTTGTCAAGGTTTTAATCAAGTAGGCGGGTGGTCAAATTTCTTGTCACGTACGGTGTGGTCACGTTTCTTATTGTCACGTGGGGTGGGGTCAAGTTTCTTGTCACGTGGGGTGGGGTCAAGTTACTTGATGTTTGTCACGTAGGGTGTGGTTCAGATGTACTGACCACTAGAGTGTTGGTCAGTGAATGGGGTTCAGTCACTAGTAACAATTATGGTTCGGTAGGGTTCGGTAATGTCAGTATTTTCTTGTGATCTAAAACTAACACTTTGCTCAAGGAATTCTGGGACTTTTTCATCCTAGGTATTCAGGGGGGGGGGGTGAACTTCCTGGTCATTATCTTGTTCAGCTGATCAAAAAGTTTAACCATCGTGTTTAACATTGTAACAGTTGAAGGTGTTCTTCCGGTTCAGAGAGGCCAAAGGTTAAGGTCAACATCGACTTTGCTATGTTAATGTTGAACAACAACTAATTCAAATTCAGTTTGGTCAAAGTTGTGACGGTTAACATAGGGTTCACTGAGGTCAAAATTCTAAGTCTTCGTCAAATATAGTGAAGTCAATGTTCTAGGTCTTTGTGCAATTTAGCGTAGTCAATGTTCTATGTCTTCGTCAGTTTTAGCTATGTCAATTTCCTAGGTCTTCGTCAAATTTAGCGAGGTTAATGTATCTGTCGGACCAAGCTAAAGATTCTAGAACATTCCCATCAGTAACCTTAGATCACTAGAACAACAAGTCACATGACATGGGTATTGTGTTCCCACTCTGACTCGCGTAAGCTCTCTATAAAACGTCAACCTGTTGTAGACCCTCCACTCACGACATTACTCGCAGAATTCCCCGGGGGTTGGGGGTGTGTCTGGGGGTGAGGGGGTGGAGTGGATGAAGGCGGAGGTCTCCACACACTTAACTGATTGTAGAGGCGTTATTGTTTTAACTGATTGTAGAGGCGTTATTGTTTTAACTGATTGTAGAGGCGTTATTGTTTTAACTGATTGTAGAGGCGTTATTGTTTTAACTGATTGTAGAGGCGTTATTGTTTTAACTGATTGTAGAGGCGTTATTGTTTTAACTGATTGTAGAGGCGTTATTGTTTTAACTGATTGTAGAGGCGTTATTGTTTTAACTGATTGTAGAGGCGTTATTGTTTTAACTGATTGTAGAGGCGTTATTGTTTTAACTGATTGTAGAGGCGTTATTGTTTTAACTGATTGTAGAGGCGTTATTGTTTTAACTGATTGTAGAGGCGTTATTGTTTTAACTGATTGTAGAGGCGTTATTGTTTTAACTGATTGTAGAGGCGTTATTGTTTTAACTGATTGTAGAGGCGTTATTGTTTTAATTTCAAGCCATCCTCCCACGCAACTGTCCTGACGATGCCCATCAGCAAGCTGACACTAATTAATTAAAATCGCTAATTCATTAAAATGACGATTTTAAACTTGTCAGGTAAAAGCGAAATCTCGTCAAGAAAAGGGCATGTTTATTTCTCGTATAAACCTATTAGTAGTTTTAGGGAAAAATATTTTCTTTTTGCATGACTATAAATAGAACGGGATTACCCATAGAGTAGCAAAGTGCAGGATTGTGCAATTTTTACTTCACATTTATATTTTTCTAAAAATAATTGGCCTTAGCGTCTTGTGAAGTAGATTAGCCCTCAATTAACTAAAACATTTTAGTTATAAATGAAGGAAAACTACACACTAAAACGTTTTTTCTTTTGTATTTTAAAATATCCATTTAAACCAAGAGTTGTATGCTTTAGTGATTAGGTTAAAAAGTAAAGAAATGAAATGATTCTAAAAATAAAAATTTCAGAGAAAAAAAATATTGTAATTTTGGAAAGTAGTTGGGTTATATATAATTTATTCAACAATAAGTATTTATTTTGTACTTTTATGGTTATCAATATACATAAACTTTCTATTTAAAAATGATTTAAAGTGAGCCATTTAGACTTATTTTAAGTCTTTATTTTTAACTAACTAGAACATATTTGCAAAGAGAAGCGTCAAAAACAAACAAAAAGAAACCAAAGCCATTCAAAAAGTATCAAACAAATCAAATCAAAATTGCGAAATAAAAAGGCAGGATTGGCTATGCCAGATTTTGCCAGCAAGTCGGCCAAAATGGATGCGTCAAATGGATGCGCAGCTCATGCAGAAAATCAAGGCGTGGGTTGGGGTAAAAAAAATAATAATGCAGAGAATAAAAACAAAATGCATTGATTTAGAAAAAAAACATAATTCATAGATTTTAAAAACTTAGGATGAATAAATAAGGAGGGTTATTAAAAATTAACTAATTAAAGATTAAACTAAGCTGATAATAACAATATCTTAGTTATTTTTAATGCTGATTATCATAATGGCATTATCAAAGTAAATTAAATGTCAAGTGACATTCTCAGTGAACTTAAATGCTAAATGACATTGTCAACTAAGATAAATGTCAGGTGACATTGTCATTAAAGCTAACTGGATGATGGGGCATTATCTAGATTAAAGGGGAGGTAGAGGTAAACCCGACTAGTCCTGGGTTGGGTTCGAACCTGGTACTTACATGGGAGACAACAAAATCCCTATCTCGGTCCTGAAAGTAGAGATACTGGTGAGGGTGGGCTGTGTGTGGGTCAAGTGTGAGGTTGTGAGGGTCATATGTGAGGTTGTGTGGGTCATGTGTGAGGTAGTGCGGGGTATATGTGAGGGTGTGCGGGGCATATGTGAGGTTGTGTGGGTCATGTGTGATAATGTGTGGGTCATGTGTGAAGTTGTGCGGGGTATATGTGGGGTTGTGAGAGTCATGTGTGAGGTTGTGTGGGTCATGTGTGAAGTTGTGAGGGTCATGTGTGAGGTTGTGTGGGTCATGTGTGAGGTTGTGTGAGGGTCGTGAGGGTTTTAACTCCAATGTGTGTGGCATATGTGGATGTGCGTGATATAAACAGTGGACAGATTGTCTATTTATGACTATTTGTGGCTCTGTCTATACTTGTTGCTACTATTGCGACTATACTTGTGTCTATACTTATGGCCATACTTATGATTACTGTGTGAACATATGTGGCGCAATGCTTGGGTCTACATTTAAGTATTATGTGTTATATTCCTTTGTGAGGTTATATCTATGGTACCTAGTAGATAGTAGGTGATGTAAGTGTGAATAAATGTGAGGGTCTGTGTGGTATATGTGTGGGTGAAGTAATTCTATGAGGATATATCCGAGAGAAAATGTGAGGTTCTGAGTGTTATATAATCTTTGTGTTTGTCGATATATTAACACCATGAGGTCACATTAAATATCCAATATGTGATGCCGTGGCCTCATATTATTGTTACCCCCCCCCCCTCCCCGCACACACACACACATACACACACCACATACAACTAGCCAGCCTGAGCTCATACAAGTGGTCTACGCTACATCACCGTGTGACGTCAAGCTGAGTATGAGCACTTAACCATCTACCTGGGTGAGTGAATTTACGTGTTCACCTGCCCCCCCCCCCCCTCTCATGGCTCATTGACTTCTTACGTGGACAAGATTCTCTAATCAACAGGTCAAGGGTCACCTCAAACTAATGCATCTACTCCATTAAAGGCGACGTTGACTACGAAAGGTCAGTTCACTCAAGTGTTAGAAAAGTAAACATTGAAAGCACAACGCGAATATTCTGGTGAGCTCGCTAGCTAAGGTTCTGTGTGCAACAGTGAAGGCAAGATATGAAGTGCTACATTGTAGGTGTTACATTGTAGGTGCTACATTGTAGGTGCTACATTGTAGGTGCTACATTGTAGGTGCTACATTGTAGGTGCTACATTGTAGGTGTTACATTGTAGGTGCTACATTGTAGGTGCTACATTGTAGGTGCTACGTTGTAGTAGGTGCTACATTGTAGGTGCTACATTGTAGGTGCTACATTTGTAGGTGCTACATTGTAGGTGCTACATTGTAGTCGCTACTACATTGTTGGTGCTACTACATTGTAGGTGCTACATTGTAGGTGCTACATTAATTAGCTAAAGTATTTGTGCAGGTGCGACAGTTAGTGATTAGTCTAGAATTGTTAGTGCTATGTGCTACACATTTAAGCTTTTACCAAATATGTGTGCTTATGTGTGTGTAAGGGACTGAAAGTGTATACCTATGTGTAACTGTTAGAGAAATTATATGCCGAGTTAGATGTGTGCGTGAGTACACGTTTGTTTATTTGTGTATGTGTGTGTTTAACAGAAGGCTCAAGATCTCACCTCATATATATATATTGCTTGTATGAAAGTGTGTATGCATTTGTGAATTTTTTTTTGAATTAATGTGTGTGTTTAACAGTTAGAAACTCAATATCCAAGCTAGTAGTGTTTGGTGTGGTGTGTATGGTGTATATGCGAAGTGGTGTGTAAGGTGTGTCTGGGGCATATGGTGTGGTGTGTGTGTGTGTGTGGTATATGTTTGGTGTGTGTGTGTGTGTGGAATATGTGTGGTGTTTACCTGTTGAAAACTCTAGATTCGATGTGGCTGTCAGGATGTCGTGTGTGGTTTGTGTGGCATATGTGTGGTGTTTGTGTGGTTTGTGTGTGGTGTGTATGTGTGTGGTTTGTGTGTGGTTTGTGTGATGTTTACCTATTGGAAAACTCCAGGTCCGAGCTGGCAGTCAGGATGTTGTGTGTGGTTTGTGTGTGTGGCGTGTGTGGCGTGTGCCGTGGCATGTGTGGTGTTTGTGTGTGGTTGGTGTGTGGTTGGTGTGTGTGTGGCAGTGTGATGTTTACCTATTGGAAAACTCCAGGTCCGAACTGGCTGTCAAGATGTTGAGCATGTTTGGACTGTTGCGGCTGTACATGGGCTCGTCTTTGCGCGTCACCGGTGCGGTTTGGTGCAGGCAGACTTTCTCCCCGCCGTTCATGGTGCTGATGGGTTTGGCGGACATGTTGGTGTGGGCGGGAGGGGTCACGTTACGTTCCAAGGTCATTTTGACAGGTGACTGTGGGGCGATGGCTCACTAAATTTCCTGAAATTAAGTAAAAAATTAACAAATTAATTTCTAAACAAGAAAAAAAATATGACAATTAAAAAAAAATAATAAAAAAAAAAAAATGACAACGGTCGAATTTTACTTCCGGTTGCAGAATGTGGAAAAGACGATCACTCTAGTTCAGACAATCAAGACCCATGTCAAGGAAACTATAATTAAATGATGTCCTTTTTTAAACAAAAATTTCATAAATAGTTTTCTGATGAAGACAAACGGTCGAAACACATGATTGTACTTGTTATTATACGATTATGTAATGAAGATGTGTATTTTCACGTGCTCGGCCATGATTAATTATCCCCCCCCCCCCACGTGAAGTCATTAACCAGTGGCTAACAGGAAGCGGGTTAGGTTTAGGGCCATCCATCACGTTAACACCGCTCTCACAAAAAACATAACGGAGCGGCGGATCAACATCCGTCAGGTTTACACTGATTGTCGTCACGTGACCAGACCCCATTACAGGTGAGCGTGCACGCACGTCGTCAGGTGAATACAGCCTTAACGTGTGCACTGGCGTCAGGTGAATACAACCTTAACGTGTGCACTGGTGTAAGTGCCGAGTACCCAATAGAGCTGTGTCGACTCAGACTTTCTACGACCATGTACCTAGCCCTCATGTAGACCCACACAATGAGCCCCCACACCATGAGCCCTCACACTAAGAGCCCCCACACCATGAACCCCCACACCACGAGCCCCCACACCACGAGCCCCCACATCATGAGCCCCCACATCATGAACCCCCACATCATGAGCCCCCACACCATGAGCCCCCACATCATGAGCCCCCACATCATGAGCCCCCACACCATGAGCCCCCCACACCACGAGCCCCCACACCATGAGCCCCCACATCATGTACCCAGCCTACCTACTCTAGACCCAACGAATCAACCTTTCTTACTCTCACACCATGCCCCCCCTCATCCCACCCCCTCACCCATTGATACATTTCTCTTTCTGTTGACATAGTGTCAAGATTTGTGTGCCGTCTGTAGGGTCATTATCTGTATGAAGTAGCCTGGGTCAATATCTGTGTATCGAATGTCAATATCTATACACTGTATGTCGATATATTGATACACTTTATGTCAATATATCGATATACGGTGGTCAATATATGGCAATATGCGTTCTATATTTAAATATCTATACACTGTAGTCAATATATGTGTTATGTATGTTAATATATATATATATATATATATATATATATATATATATATATATATATATATATATACACACACATTTATTGTCAATATACAATATATGTGTTCTACAAGTCAATGTCTACATACTGTATGTGGATATATATGTCCTGTAGCTCAATATTTTTGTACTGTATGCTAATACTTATGTAATGAATTGGTAATGTGCGTTAAAATGTGTGTACATATATTGCAAGGATTATATTCTCGTGCACAAGGAGATATCACATTGGTGCACACACGCACACACAATAACTCACTCTCTCACACACAATCATTCATACACATACACTCACAATCATACACACACTCACTCCATTGGAGTACAAGGAGATTTTACACTAGTGTACACTGATCATATATCGGTGTATACACAGTTCTTATATCAGCGTAAACATATCGTGCTATGGTGTACACACAGATCTAGCATTCATGTACACGCAGAAGGCGTCTGCCATTGGAAAGATTTTGTATGTAAATGTTCCCTGCTGCTCTTGGGTGTAGGGATCGATGAAGGGGTGGGGTGGGGGTGGGGGTGGGGGCAGAGGTGTGGGGGAGGGGGTCATAATGCCGTCTATATGGCTGGTAACAATTATTGGATTTGGTGCTGTATGGATGGAAGGGGAGGTGAGAGAGGGGTGGGAGGGGGTGAGAGAAGGGGGTGGGAGGGGGTGTTGCTTGCCTGTTATTAACGGAGGTGTGGGTGGGTGTAACTAGGCCGATATTTGAGATGGAGATGAAAATCGATTGGCTGAAAGAAACGTGGATACTATGGGGATGTGCACATCATGTGATTAGAGATTGGATGAAAGAAACGTTGGGATGTGTACATCATGTGATTAGGGATTGGATGAAAGAAACGTTGGGATGTGTACATCATGTGATTAGGGATTGGATGAAAGAAACGTTGGGATGTGTACATCATGTGATTAGGGATTGGATAAAAGAAACGTTGGGATGTGTACATCATGTGATTAGGGATTGGGTGAAAGAAACGTTGGGATGTGTACATCATGTGATTAGGGATTGGATGAAAGAAACGTTGGGATGTGTACATCATGTGATTAGGGATTGGATGAAAGAAACGTTGGGATGTGTACATCATGTGATTAGGGATAGGATGAAAGAAACGTTGGGATGTGTACATCATGTGATTAGAGATTGAAAGAAACATTGGGATGTGTACATCATGTGATTAGAGATTGAAAGAAACGTTGACACTATGGGGATGTGTACAGTGTGTACATCATGTGATTAGAGATTGAAAGAAACGTTGACACTATGGGGATGTGTACAGTGTGTACATCATGTGATTAGATATTTAGAAAGTGTAACACGGGAGGGGGGTGACGACGAGGGGTCAGAGGTTAAAACATTGGCTCGTATCACGTGCATGTGTGACCTTGTAATACCCACGTGACAAAAAAAAAATGAATCGATAAATCTGTGGACAGCTCAAGGCCAGGAGGATGAATGATGATTGATGGAGGGGGGGGGGGGGGTGGCGAAGACGAACGGGTGGAACGGGGCGGGGAGCTGAAACAAACATATTTTACTGCGAATGTGATGTGTGTGGTTAGAGAATTTTAAATAATGTTTAGTTGTTCGTAAAGCTGTGAAGGTTGGAGCAGCTGTAGAGATTAACCAGAAACTTCTTCATTTCAGAACTCAACACCAGAAAGCCAGCAGCGATTAGACAATATCGTTATCTATCAATGTTTAAATACTTGTAAGCTGTCGACGTTTGAAATGATTTCACTAATAGAAACATTGTCCCAACAATTAGTTTACAGAACTGGTGTTTAAACACAATCACATATGACTAGTGTTTAAACACATGCTCATAAGACTAGTGTTTAAACACATGCTCATAAGACTGGTGTTTAAACACATGCTCATAAGACTGGTGTTTAAACACATGCTCATAAGACTGGTGTTTAAACACATGCTCATAAGACTGGTGTTTAAACACATGCTCATAAGACTGGTGTTTAAACACATGCTCATAAGACTTATGGGACAAATGTTCAAATGCACATACGCAGAACTATTCTCAACAAATGAAACAAAAATGCCCTTGCACATTTTATCCGTTCATCATTTAGTTATTCCCACCAAGACTTAATGCACATTCTTACAACGTGTACCTTTGATCTAACAATGAAAAGTTCTATACATTCCTGCCACTCACCTGTCAGTCAGGTGCCTGCCGGTCATGTGCCTGTCAGTTAAGTGCCTGCCAGTCAGGTGCCTGTCGGTCAGGTGCCTGTCAGTCAGGTGCCTGTCAGTCAGGTGCCTGTCAGTCAGGTGCCTGTCAGTCAGGTGCCTGTCGGTAGGGTGCCTGTCGGTCAGGTGCCTGTCAGTCAGGTGCCTGTCAGTCAGGTGCCTGTCAGTCAGGTGCCTGCCGGTCAGGAGCCTGCCGGTCAACTGTCAGTCAGGTGCCTGTCGGTCAGGTGCCTGTCAGTCAGGTGCCTGTCAGTCAGGTGCCTGAGAGTCCTAATGTTTATGGCAGACATCTTGCACAGCTTATCGATTTCCCGGATTCGTTGTCTGATTGGTCAGCAGGTGGATTAACTAGGTCACGTGCCGGGGTCACCTGTACTAGAGATCGATAATCTGCGTGTCTTAAGGAGGGTCAGCGGGACCAGGGGAGTGGAGCAATCAACCCCACACTCCACTCCACACACACAGACACACACATACAAACACAACCACCGACTAATGGAATGTAAAAAGCTGTTTTACATGCACACCTATCGCCTAGGAAACCTAGTTTGGTTGCAAGAAAGGTCTTTAAACATAGATCTATATACATTCACAAATAAATGCGAGCAAACACGCACACGCAAACGCACACATACGCATAAACGTAAACCACAAAAATACACACGCCTGCAGTCATAATTTTTTTTTAAATCCATACGCACACACATACAATTAAACACGTGCACTCATAAACATGCACACAAACACACATGAACAAACCTTTCACTCAGCTGACCTGTGCAGAAGGTCAACGTTTTAACACCGTGCTGCATGTAATACATCCACATTGGATAACCCCCCCCCCCTATTCCCCCCCCCCACCACACCCACCTAATGACCTGCACCTAAGATCAATCAGGCGGTCACATTTCTGCCTGACATCACGTAGTTACTTCCCTTAGCTAAGCCTACTGCGTGACTGACAACGTTTACAATGGGCTAATTGTTTTTTCTTTGTTTTCACTGACAGGAACATCGTTTGGTGCGTTTGGTTCAACCTCGTTTTAAAATAGCTGCATGGTTCAACCTCGTTTTAAAATAGCTGCATGGTTCAACCTCGCTTTAAAATAGCTGCATGGTTCAACCTCGTTTTAAAATAGCTGCATGGTTCAACCTCGTTTTAAAATAGCTGCATGGTTCAATCTCGTTTTAAAATGTCTGTATATCGTTAAACTTTATTCTTAAATGTCTGGCTGTATGGGTTAACCAACGTGTATTTTAGCTCACCACTAAATAATCAGAGCTTAACTTCATCCAACATTAACTGAACTCAGAGCTTAACCTCACACTACCTCAACATCCACTTCACACCAATATACGACTTTATTAATCACAGAAAAAAAAACGTCTTAAATATAATATACGTCAGAATAATAGATTGGAAGCTGCCCCACTCCTATCCATGCTCACCCCCACCTCCCTTTCCAACCTGACATGGTCTTAAATAATTAATGACCGAGCCACCGTCTAGCCTATGTGTTTATTGACTACGACATGAAATAAATTGATTTATTATATCTTTGTAGCTTTTTATCCAGATTATTGATGACTTTCTTGTTTTCTTTTTAAGCGGGTCAAAATTTATTGGTAGGCAAGGCCTATAGGTCAAGCCACGCGATTGGCTGGCCCCGGCCAATGAAATGACGTGTGTCTGATGCTGACCCGTTTGAAATGAACCAATCGTCGCCCCGGTAACGACGAAACAAAATGCTGAAACTAAAGACGAATCAAACCTGATATATTTCTACCTCCTGTCGTCACCAAACTGGACGGGGAAACACGGTGGGCAGATGCTGTGGGGGGGGGGGGATCTTCTAACTGGGCTAACATGACTGTTACATAGGGACCATAAACGGAGGTCCAATGAAGAGGATGATAGACGTTTTATTTATTAAAATTTTTTAAGACACTAAATTATAAATATAAATCAGAAACTAACCGGGTAAAAAGTGTATACATTCTCGACTGGACATTATAAGTAGAATTTGTCCCTACCCACACACAAAATAATAATAATAATAATAATAAATACAATATAAAAACAATAAAAACAATAACAACAACAACAAACAGCAGAGTAGATAAACAACAAGAAATGGCGACGAGCAACAGTTGAAGTTGATTCTTGTGGTGGGCTGACAAGTATAAGCATAGTCGCTCATCTATTTGCTACAAACTAAAAAAATTATTTATTTTTAAATAGTGTCTTCTACTTTAAGATCATACTTCAGAAAAACCGCGAGTGTTTCGACCACTCCACGAGATCATTAAAACATTCGCCAACTCCGTCAATACCAAAAGGCAGCGAGGGAAAAAAACAACAGTTAATATGAGAGAAATTTGGAAAAGTCAAAGCGACCGGAAATCCCACAGAAAGCGAGGTTATTATTTCAGGGGGTGCGGGATCGATGGAGCGTTCCCCGGGGGTCGGGATCAGGGGAAGATTAGAAAGGTTTGACGGTTAAAGCCAGAGGGTCACGTCCGTGTGTCCTAACTAGGTCACAGACATCTGGATATACTTCGTTCAATTTAAATTTTAAACGTCTTGGGGGGGGGGGGGGGGGTTACGTCATTCGGCCAATCTACATCATAGAACAAATGGTATGTTGAATAGAACATTTGACACAAATCTAGATCAAGGAACAAATGGTATGTTGAATAGAATATTTGATACAAATCTAGATCAAGGAACAAATGGTATGTTGAATAGAATATTTGATACAAATCTAGATCATAGAATAAAAGGTATGACGAACACAAAGTCTAACAAAACAAATAATGAAAATTGTTACATATTTTGGATTGTTCAGTCACGATTTACTGTAAATACGACACACACTCGCACACACACATACACACACAATTTACATCTGTTAACGCCTTGATTGCTTTAAGAGACGGTTAAATTATTTTTTATTGAACACGCTAATCGCTAATCTGTCAGGCATATCGCTAATCTGTTTATAAACGACTACAAACAAAATCGAAACTCCCGCCCTGAATGTCCGCCTGTGACATGACCTTACCCCAGGGGGGTCAGGCTTTCAGAAAAAATAAACATTAACATCAAATTTGCTGCAGTCCTTTTTATTTTTACTTTTTGAATAAACGCCTAACCAATGACCCTTGTCTTGCTGAATCCACATACCCACCAATGTACTAAGACATTCAACACAAACAAAACTAATCCCTTTTTGTTTACAGTGTAGTAGGCCACACTCCACTCCGGAATATTACGATAGTCTCGTGACATCAAGAAAATAGTCCCACAAGAAATGGAAATCCATACATCAAACACTGGATATACAATTCACAGATGAAAAATTCCGCTATGTCCCTAAACAATGTCAGACACAACTGTACTAAGTGTTAGATTAGTTGATTGGCTGACACAACTGTACTAAGGCGTGCTACATTGGTTGATTGGCCACACTGACTGGGACTGAGTCAGGCAATCTTTTGATTTAATTCCTGTCAGGTGTGTCTAAATTGTCTGCGGTACCCGTCAAATTTGTGACGGTCTTAGCAACACACCACAACATTACATCACGTGACACTACACGTGATAATAGTATACAGAATTGTTTGGGGGGGGGGGGGTAATTGTTCTAAGAATAGCTCTTATGAAATTGTATTCTAAAAGTATACCACACCTGATCAAGGTTAGAGAAGAAAGGAAATCAAGACATGCATATGATGTCATGATGAAATCAGCAAGCCGGAGTTTGTCTTTATGGTAGAGACTTCAGCGGAAATAGGACGACCGTTGCTTGTGACAGTTTATGTTGTAGCTGGGAATAGCTAGAGGACGGTGGTACATGTTTTATAGAGGACCATTAGATATGCTTACACCAGGACCGTCTACAACCTCCTACACCGTCCACTATCTGCACTGTCCCCAACCTCCAAGAATGGTCTCCAACCTCCCCATCAATATCCTCCCAACCTACCAGCACCAGCCCCCAACCTACCAGCACCCAACCTCCTAGCACCGTCCCCAACCTACCAACACCCAAACCTACCAGCACCGTCCCCAACCTACCAACACCCAAACCTACCAGCACCGTCCGCAACCTCCTAGCACCGTCCCCAACCTCCCAGCACCAGCCCCCAACCTACCAGCACCCAACCTCCTAGCACCGTCCCCAACCTACCAACACCCAAACCTACCAGCACCGTCCCCAACCTACCAACACCCAAACCTACCAGCACCGTCCGCAACCTCCTAGCACCGTCCCCAACCTCCCAGCACCCAAACCTACCAGCACCGTCCCCAAACCTACCAGCACCGTCCCCAACCTACCAACACCCCAACCTACCAACACCCAAACCTACCAGCACCGTCCCCAAACCTACCAGCACCGTCCCCAACCTACCAACACCCAATCTACCAGCACCTTCCCCAAACCTACCAGCACCGTCCCCAACCTACCAACACCCAAACCTACCAGCACCGTCCCCAACCTACCAACACCCAAACCTACCAGCACCGTCCCCAACCTACCAACACCCAAACCTACCAGCACCGTCCCCAACCTCCTAGCACCGTCCCCAACCTCCCAGCACCCAACCTACCAGTACCGTCCCCAACCTCCCAGCACCCAACCTCCTAGCACCGTCCCCAACCTCCCAGCCTACCACTGTATCGATGTAATGCGGCGATCAATGTGAACCTGTACCAGCTGACCAATGAAAGACGAGCGTTTAGAGAACTTGAACAACTTAAGCCGATTTACTCTTTGACGTCATCGCACGTGAGGGTGGGGGGGGGGTGGAGGGGGGATTTAGTTTATCAGTTTAATTTTTTAAAATGTTTTGTGATTGATAGTCGGATATCACATTGTGTGTTCCATGTGACAGTCTAGCGATCGCGGACAGACTGAACGACAGACAGGTGCAAAGACAGGCACAATAACAGGTACAAAGACAGGCAGTTAGACAGACAGTCAGTGTTGTGCTGGAGATCTGTTTGTATGCTGTGTGATTTAGGCTGGGTACCCAACTAGAGATGAGTTCACACAGAGACGAGTAGTGACACGGGATAGAAACTACAGACTTGTAGGTCACCAGTGTTGTACTCTACGTCTCGACCACGTTATATCCTAGTCTCATGCCTTTGTTTGTTGTAGGTGGTGGCAAGTTTGTAAAATTTACAACTCTAATTTGGCTGAAACATCTCCCCACCATACGGTTAAAGTGCTTTTTGTTTTATAGATCTGCAGGCATATGATATAAGCCACATAAATCATGACTACATATACAATTCGCACATACAACTTTATACAAGAACATAATACAACAGGGACATGAGCAAAGCCGGGACTAAGAATAGCAAGACAAGTTCGTTGAACAGCTGACGTCACAAAGTGTACGTTTTCTGCTCATACATTCGGACAAACTGACCTTTGACATAATATATATTATATAGCCATCAACAATCTCTCAGCATTAAACAATGGGCTATGATCCCAACATGTAGTTTCCATACATGGGTTAAACATTTTAAAAAACAGCAACGTTTAAGCTCCGAAGGGCCTGGCTTTGACTGATTTAGCATCGTGGACCTACCTGTGTACTACGTCACGTCCAGCAGGTACGTCATCCAGCTGACGTCACACACGGCGCACGACGATATCAACGAGAGAGACATGATGGCAGATATTCTGTCTACCTCAGCATCGAGATGTGTGTCAGTGACATCGTGATGTTTGCACATCAGCCAAAACTTAAAGCTCACACATCAGCACACGGAATGTACGCACTTGAAATCAGGAAATGTCAACTCACGACTCATGAAATGTATTTAGATCTAAATCAATGTAGGCCTACTCTTGAAAGTTCACAAAAAATCTTTATTCCTGTACATTGAACTACGAGAGGTTTCCCATCAGCCCATCAAACAGTGTTTCTTCCAGACTTTTTTCTCCGGGGGGGGGGGCACTAGAAATTTTCGGGGGGGCGGTAGACTTTCTTCGGGGGGGGGGGGCGGACACTGTTAAAACTATATATTTTCTATATAAATTATATAAATTTCATTTCGTTCGGGGGGGGGGGCGGTAAAAAAATTTCGGGGGGGGGGGGCTTTGCCCCCCCCCCGGAGAGATGCCTGGAAGAAACTCTGCCATCAAATGTATGTATTAGATCTAGAATAGATTTTCTTTTCTCCTACACTATAAAAGAACACCAAAAAAATCACAAAATAGAGACCTCTGCAAATTAAACCACAAAAAGTTTACATATCAAGCCACCAAATGTGGCATGTCTACTAATTAAACCACAAACCAATTGGTCATTAAACCACCAAATGCCCGCTCATTAAACCACCAAATGCCCGCTCATTAAACCACCAAATGCCCGCTCATTAAACCACCAAATGCCCGCTCATTAAACCACCAAATGCCCGCTCATTAAACCACCAAATGCCCGCTCATTAAACCACCAAATGCCCGCTCATTAAACCACCAAATGCCCGCTCATTAAACCACCAAATGCCCGCTCATTAAACCACCAAATACCCGCTCATTAAACCACCAAATATCCACACACAAACGAATCACCCACTAGCCCATCTCAACTTACAGCCAACACTAGATCAACTACTTAACATTCGGAAAATCCCAAATATTCCAACTATTTCAGTGGCGCCATATTGGAAACTAATTTAAAAACCAAATTGGCCTAAAAATAGGCTAATGCATTGATTTGAATTTCAAATTACTAATTAACCAAGTGAACATCGGTTTTAAAAAAAATAATTAAAACTATCGAAATCTGTTATTTACACTTGAAAAGAATTTGATATCCTTCACAACACAGTTACATTCCAGTAGTTTCTTGACATGAATAAGAATCTAAGTTAAACGACTGCTAGGCCATGAACTGAGTGAAAACGACGGCCGATCACAACACACGGCAACAGTAGCGCTACACAGCACCCAAACCACGGCCTCCGGCTATCAGGTGACCGGCTGACGTAACCGTGAGCTCCTGCACAGAAATCCAGCACGGAGAGATAAGAACAGACGTTGGTTTGACAACACGGACGGTGAAAATTCGGTAAGGTTCAGACACAAACAAGCGTTGACCTAGCCCGGCCACGTCAAAACAAACAAGTAGGTCAGGCTATGCGAAGGCACGTGAGCTGATGTATCGATCCATTTGATTGGCTGCGACACATGTCGTAACACGACCAATATCGTGTGGTGTACTAGACTGCTGTAGAGGGGGGCGCGGGGGTGATGTATAGGGGAGCGTTGATGTAGGAGCATGTAAGGTCAGTGGATGGGTGTAGGTCTGTGGATAAGGTCATTAATAGATCAGTGGATATGTGTAGGTCATCTGTAGGTCAGTGGATATGTGTAGGTCATCTATAGCTCTGTGAAAAGGTTAACTTAAGGTCAATAAATAGGCGTAGGCCAGTGCAGTAGAAATGGTTGATTTTTCTGAAACAATTTCCCAACGGACACGAGCGAGAAAACTCTCAAAGGTATTTGAGAGGTGTATAAATTAGTTTAAAAATCAGGCACGGCGTAGTTACAATTAATATGGTTATAAAATCCTGTCTGTCTGGTTAATTTCGGACTTTACTAAAGATTGGGTCTATTTGATGTTTTAAAAATTTTCGGTAACTAATTGAAAATTTAAAAACAAGCCAAAACAATTTGGTTTTCACGTGTAATGGCGACATAAACAATGGCATCCTGCTATTGGATAGGCCGACATTGATTTTATTGTACACATTGTAAGCTAAAAATAGAAAACTAGGTCATGGGGTTTTTAATTTGCATTGTTATTTAAAAACTTGATCTGCAAAGTTTTGTAAACAAATAGTTATCGATCACTAAGTTACTGTACAGCCAATCAATATTTGTCTTACGAAAGTGAAACATCCGGTTTTAACTTAGGCTTGATGAAAATAAATAGAAATGTACCTTAAACTCAACAAATTATTTTCAAGTTCTCTGGATTTGCAACTTTTATAGCATTTATTCTAAAAATATAAAATTTCTAAATTAATTTTAGGCTTAAGTTTTTATTTTTTATTTTTTTTACGGTCTAAATCTAAAAAGCACGTTTTTATTCCATGTCAACAATATTATGGAAGGAATCTCGTCAACTCGCTCGCCTCCACTATACCTTGTGCTTGAAGACAGTAAGTGTGTGTGTTGGGGGAGGGGGAGAGGCGGTCTGACATTAGCCTGGAGCGCGCGCCAATAACTGAGGACAAGAAGCACACAATCGATACGGTGCGGTGCTGTGTTGTGTTCTAGAAGTCAGAGCTAATCCATGTCTAACACTGGTAAATCACACAGCGCCGTGTGTAGTAACCTTGGTGTGTGTAGTGACCTTGATGTGTGTAGTAACCTTGATGTATGTAGTGACCTTGATGTGTGTAGTAACCTTGATGTCAAGTACAGGACAGCACCGGCCCTTTGGGCAGTGCACGTATTTTATAACACACACAACAAAATCACATCTTCACAAATTCAATACCCTCATATTACACTACATATAACACCAGGCCTTGTATTAACTATCACTTCTACAGTGTTTCTTCCAGACTCTTTTCTCCGGGGGGGGGGGGGGGGGCACTTGAAATTTTCGGGGGGGGGGGGGGGGGGGGCGGTAGATTTTCTTCGGGGGGGGGGGGGGGCGGACACTGTTAAAAGTATATATTTTCTATATAAATTATATAAATTTCATTTCGTTCGGGGGGGGGGGGGGGGTGAATCTTTTGGCGAAGCCCCCCCCCCCCCCGGAAGAGATGCCTGGAAGAAACTATGCACTTCCGTGACCCCCCCCCCCTTCACCCAACACAAATTTGCAATTAAAAAAATTAAACACTGCGGATCAGATTGTTTTATGGTAAATCTCATGTTACATCCCTACCAGAAACAATCTCACAGCTTTAGATTGTGTTAACTTAAAAATGTGTAAGCCAGTGGTATCAACTAAACAACCAAGCCGTAGATTTTTTGCGACAGTAGGAATACTGAAAATCGTAGGCCATGTTGTATAGTACTATTCTATATAACCACCACCCAATATAACAGAATATAACAAATACTAACCCCCCTCCCCCCACTACCACCACTGGGTGCGTATGATCATCAACTGCACGTGGTGACGAGGTGAGTTGACTCAGCCTTAAGGGAGCAATCGCTGCCTGTTGTGATGCATGTTCCAATATCTCCATCCGTGACGTCAGCTCCAGACAATAGCAGCGACCACGTGATACCCGTCATGTTTATTACACAACATTACTCACGTGTCCAATGGCCTGTCGTGCACGTTTCCTTTCATCTAACCGTGTCACGTGACTCCCGTATCTAACGTCGACACAATGTATTACCGTCGTCTTATTGCCAACACGTGCTAATATCGCCATCACAAGAAATGTCCGCGGCAATCGTAAAGAAAACAGAATTCAATCTTGGCAATAATGGAAGAAATAAGAGAATGTTAACTGTGCCGAGCTAGGGCCTGTTCTCGTGTTGAGTGCGCCGATAAATCGTGACCACTGTATCAAGGCCGCCACATGTTGCTGATATTTTAAACTTTCGAACTCACCCCCACCCCCACCCCCTACCTCAGCCCGCCCCGTCCCCAGTGAGAGCAGAGTTGTGTCCCGTGTAAACTAAGTACTGTAGCGGTTTGTTTACATCGGTCGATAGCAAAACATTGGGGGCACTGACTCCACTAACATAATAGACTGTAGGGGCACTGACTGACGCAATGATGGAGTCATGTAGACTAAATATGCACTGACTCCACTAACATAATAGGGGCACTGACTGACGCAATGATGGAGTCATGTAGGCTGTAGGGGCATTGACTGACGTAATGATGGAGTCATGTAGACTAAAAAGACACTGACTCCACTAACATAGTAGACTGTAGGGCATGACTGACGCAACAAAACAGACTCTAGAGACATTGACTGACACAATGGTGGAGTCATTTCTTCAGAGTTTGGCTTGTGAGATGTAACATTTATTAACACAATGATAAACATAGGGCAACTTGATCTACACGTAGACCATAAGATGTGATCTATGTGCCACTAGCGTTCTGGTTACTGTGTTGTGGGCTAGACACGGGGGTTATGATCGTAAAAATTCCTTATGTTCTGAATGTTGCATCATGGTATACATATGTCATGGGTAATTTTTGTATGATGACGTACATCTGTCACAGTAAAATGGTCATATGTCATGCTTAAACGTTGTTTGATGATATAACATACATCTGCCACGTTCAAATGTTGTATGATGACGTTCATCTGTCATGCTTAAATGTTGTATGATGATGCACATCTGCCACGGTTAAATGTTGTATGATGATGTTCATCTGTCACAGTTAAATGTTGTATGATGACATACATGTACATCTGACATGAATATTTTTCACCAAGAATAAACGGCCAGCCAGAAATCGATACCAATTACCTGATCAATAATTCATGATTGGATTACAGGAGCCTTTCGATCAGTCACGTGATGGTCCCTCGCCCGTGGACGGGGAATAAATCTGGGGATCGGATGTACGCGGGGGATCAAAGGCAGGGTGGGGTGTGAGGGGGGGGGAGTGTCGGTGAACGCTGGGCTAATGGGTCTTAACTGCTCCACCATTTTTTATCTTATCATTTTTTTTGTGCTGTTAAAAACGTGTGGGTCATTATGAAGTACAAGCAGGGGATGGGTGGGTGGGTCGATGGGTCTGTTCTTTGTTACATTCAATACTAGGGGCAAGTGTAAGTTACATTTTGTTACACTCTATAGCCAGGCAAATGTAAGTTACATTTTGTTACACTCTATAGCCAGGCAAGTGTAAGTTACATTTTGTTACACTCTATATCCAGGCAAGTGTAAGTTACATTTTGTTACACTCTATAGTCAGGCAAGTGTAAGTTACATTTTGTTACACTCTATAGCTAGGCAAGTGTAAGTTACATTTTGTTACACTCTATAGCTAGGCAAGTGTAAGTTACATTTTGTTACACTCTATAGCTAGGCAAGTGTAAGTTACATTTTGTTACACTCTATAGCCAGGCAAGTGTAAGTTACATTTTGTTACACTCTATACTAGGGGCAAGTGTAAGTTACATTTTGTTACACTCTATAGCCAGGTCAAGTGTAAGTTACATTTTGTTACACTCTATAGCCAGGCAAGTGTAAGTTACATTTTGTTACACTCTATAGCTAGGCAAGTGTAAGTTACATTTTGTTACACTCTATAGCTAGGCAAGTGTAAGTTACATTTTGTTACACTCTATAGCTAGGCAAGTGTAAGTTACATTTTGTTACACTCTATACTAGGGGCAAGTGTAAGTTACATTTTGTTACATTCAATACTAGGGGCAAGTGTAAGTTACATTTTGTTACATTCAATACTAGGGGCAAGTGTAAGTTACATTTTGTTACATTCAATACTAGGGGCAAGTGTAAGTTACATTTTGTTTTTACAAGGAAAAAGTTGGGGACTCAGGTATTTTAACACAAATAGCCAGACAACCAACTTTTAACGCCTTATGTTTTGTACAAGATAGGGCAACCACATACTGATACACACACGTATATTGAACCAGATTGTTGTAACTAATGTTTGTTAAAATGTTCACAAGGTTTGAATATGTTGTTTTCAGTAACGTGTCTATATTAATACTTGGCAAAAAGTAATTGTTGTTTAATAATGCTGAGAGAGAGAGAGAGAGAGAGAGATATGACCACGACTTTGTTTATAATTATGCCTTGTGATTTTAGAACATACGGGGTATAGACCTATGTCTCGATTAAAAAAAAAGATGAATGGACTTTGAAGGATCTAGCTCTGGTAAAGCGGCATATAATATTATGTTGAAATGAAAATATCCACAAAGTCACTTCTTTACAGACCTCTCCCCCACACCTCTATACCACACCCCTGAACTCTACCCCTCACTCCCCACTTCTTTCTCACACCCACAACTCTCACACCCCACTAGCCCATATAAAGAGACCAAAACAAGCAAACAAGGAGATCTAACCAAAAGTACATCTGTCTGTCTGTATGTTTGTATGTGGCTTGCTGGCACAAGAGAAAACACTG